GGCCTCAACATCTGCATCCTTAGTGAAGGCGTCATAGGCAACAAAGAAGACGAATTAAAATCCAAAAGAAAAATATTTTTATAAAATGAAGTGTAGCCACTTTGGACATTTTGAATCAAAGAGAGAAAATAAATTGTCTTACCACCATATAATTTGGTCAAGGTGGTCCTATTCTGGTTCCCATAGAAAGACTAAAAGTGATCAAAGTTGTTACTTGTAATAAAAAAAATTAAACCATTATTATGTATTTCTTTATAAAATTATAGATTATGAAACCTATTAACTTAAGAATTCAATGATAGGTTTGCAAATTACCTCAAAACCCTTAAAGTGTAAGATAAATCTGTTACACCTGAAAATTTTTAAAATTTTATAAATTAAGTTTCTAAACCAAACAAATATTTATTGTCAAAATTAACCGAGCAAAGCTCATAAACAATCAAACTCAAGCATGACTTGTTTAAGAATTATGTCGAGCTGTACTTTTTAAGGTCAAATTGGGCTCATCCAGAAAATAGTAAAATTTGTATTTGACTTGAGTTTAACTCATCAATTCAAATAAAACATTCAAATTCATGCTTGAGCTCAAATTCAATTAATTTTAACATAGAGTTTTATAGTATAATAGAAAGGTTAATATAAATGATATGTTTTTTGACGCCATCTTGACTTTGAACTCAATTGCAAGGCTTGTTTACATAAGGAGATAATTTGCAAGCTCTTGAATATAAGAAGAAATTGAAGATAGATGTCAACAGATTTGTACTTTAGTTGTAAGCCTCATATGTTAATAACCTTAATAATCAAAGTTGTCCAAAGATAACAATAGGATGAAAATTCCAACTCTATCCTTTATTTATTATAATATAGTGTTAATATAAATGCCAGATTACGAGTTTCATTGTGTCCATTATGCTACTAATTAATCCTTATCTTCTTTTACCATAAAAAAATGGAATGAACTATTTTTGTCCACAATGCCACTAACGAATCCATGTTTTTACTTTTATTACAAAATTTTGCCTTATTTAACGACTTTTATCTTACTGAAAAAGGTGAAGAGACCCTATCTCTTTCTCTCTTTCCTTTTGGTAAAATAGAAACTTAAATACAAATTTTTTATTTTTTTTTTAATTTTTGATTATAATGTTAAGTTACGAGGAATTTGGAATTTACTTCTATCCTTAAAGTGTGATTTGGATGAATTATTGTGTCATTATGGTGCAATAACTTACCATTGCCTATTTAGAAAAAAAATTTAAAAAAACTTGCATTAACTTAAGAAATTTGAAATTTGATTTCGCGTCCACACTCCTGGCCGTACCAACATAATTGTTTCTTCCAGTAAATTCTGAGGTTAATGCCAATTATTCGTCTTTCTATTGTTAAAATCGTTTAATTTAAATTTTATAGTTTCAATTTATCTCATGTCCTCTCTTTATTATTAATTAACTACACATATCTTCTCTTACCATTAAAAATGGTATCAATGTCTTCATTCGTCGAAGTTCCGTCCAATTTTAAAGTAACAAACAGTTTGCTCACCGTTAATCACTACCTTGTCAGACATCCAACTCATTTTTATTTTTTTTACAGCTGGCCTTAGTGGGCCTCTCCAGTGCCACATCAACTGACCTTGATGAATCCGTAACCGCAACCGCCACCCGAATTTCTCCTCTAAAGTGTGATTTGGATGTGCAGAAAGACAAGTGGAAACTCTCAAAGGAGTAACTAATCATTGGATGAAGAAAACTTCTGAAACTGAAACACAAATACTATGTCCATGTCAGTTATCTGTTGTACCCTTTCATGGTACCACCGTATCAAAGGATCACGAAGAATGAATCAATACAGGAAATCAAATTTTTAATTGTATTCATGGATGCATATTGTAAAATTTGAGTCTCATCTTTAATCAAAAACAATTTCAATTATTCACAGTAAAATCATATTTATTTTAAAAATAACAATTTCAGTTATTCACATCTTGTATCTCCATATCAACTATGCATATTCCATAACTACACTACTCCTAGAGAGGTTTTAGATTAGAGATTTGGACTAATACAACAATAAATTTATCTTTCATTTTACAATAAAATATATAATTCAATAAAAATACTAGAGGCTAACCATCCACGGATCAAAAAATGAGAAATGGACATCATAATAGGTGAGTTTAAGTTTATAAGTTAGAGGTATTAAATTCAAATAACAAATAAAATTAAATTTACACATTAAAAGTCACACATTTAAATGTTAAAAGTCTAGTACAGGTGGGAGTAGTGTGGAAAATAGAACCATCACCTAC